CCGGCAATCTGCACGATGCCACTTGTTCAGGGACCATGCGAAGGACGACAGATCAAGTAAGCACAACATTCTTTATTGTCTTTTATAATTTCGTGGCTGTACCTAAAAAATGAGAAACACTTTTGGTGAGCTAGTAAGAAAAATGCGAGAAGATCGAAACATTGCTGGTTCCCATAAAAATTCCTCAAAGCCTTTGCGGCGACACGGAAGGCAGTGAGGCTCTTGTACGAGTCTCAAAAAGTACTTACCCTTCGACGACCATTTTAAAACGAGCCACCCGAAGCCCAACCAGCCTGAAATTGGTGTCAACCTTCACCTGAAGCCGTAGTACATCCGTACTGGCAACTTGCACAGGGTGGGCAGAGGCTGCGTTTTGTTTTTTTCTTCTGTTTGTTTCACGAAAAACCAGGTACCGCTGAGCTAGTGACAGAAGAGTAGGTTGGGAATTAAGTCGCAGGGAGCTAGTGTGCAGTATGCTGAACGCTCAGTTTGAGCAGTGTCTTGCGGGAGCCCTCCCTTTTATAAGCGATTTTTTCATGCTCCAGGCGACCATATTACCCTTTACTGAACTTATAAGGACCGAAAGCTTGATTGCCGACTAGGAGTATATCCAAGATCCAATCCTGGCACCGCGGGCGCAGAAGGAAGCTCCACTATCCAATATACTACCTCTACAGATTTGGATTGCATCAGGACAAATCAGACTAAAAGAAACTCAATGTAGGTGCGCTTGGTATTCGCTGTAGTGCTTTCTGAGAATCTACAGAACTAACACGTGGAGAACTGCGGCCTAATTTTTCAACACGGCTTCATAGCAGAGTCAAGGCTCCTCGAAATTTTTAGCTATTTCAGATACGGTTATTCAATATCGATCCGTAAATGCAGTTCGTTCGTCTACAGTGGTTGCCAAGGCAATGAGAACAACTTTGCCACACTTGAAGAATGCCTGAAGATGTGCCCTTGAAGTTAGCCGATCACGGCAGAATTACGATTTAATAAAAATCTCATAGCTTCATATCGCAGAGTTCAACCTTCACAAGAATGGAACCGCGGATCAGCAATGCCAGTTTCCGCTTGTCAATATCTTCATCTGGATACGCCGGCCTATTCCATTGCGCTCTTGATTGCGCACTTCATGCTGATTCGAGCCTTTGTCACGCCCCTACTGACTTTGGGCACTATTTACCCTTTACTGCCCCAGTCATCCGAAATCAGGCCAGTTCCTGACCGACTTTTTTCTCCGTGGGCAGATTTTGCTCAAATGTTGTCTCCTGGGGTAGTTTGACCTCCAGAATACGAATATCACATTCGCTCAGCCCGAAACTTCCTGGCGCCCGCGCCACAGGCGCCAATGATTTGGGGTATTTTGGCGCCGGTGCCCGTGGTGCGGGCGCCAGGAGGTTTCGGGTCAAGCGGATGCGATATTCGTGTTCAGCGGGTCGAACTACCCCTGGAGCCAAGTTTTCAGCAAATTCTGCCCACGGAGAAAAAGTCGGTCAGGAACTGGCCTGATTTCGGATGGCTGGGGCAGTAAAGGGTAAATAGTGCCGACTTTGGTGATGAGACTTAACCACAGAATCCAAAACGACACGTCAGGTTTAACTGTTTCTACAGCAGAGTTGATTCCGACCATATGCCGACCGAAACCGCAATGAAATGACGTGAGATCAGGGAGAATCACAATATCAATTACAACCACTTCATATCAGCTCAATCACTGCGAAGAGAATCTCCCTGGTGTGGTTCAGTTTGCTACGATTCCCCATAACGAACAGCTGGCTGTGGATGTCCCATAATGTTTCTATTCACAGTTTCAGCTACAGTGAGTGATGTTTTGTTCTTCACGCTGAATGTCCAACTTCCACGTCAATTTTAGGGATTACTACTATACGTAATGTCTACTTATATTATACTAGCATACAATTGTTTAAAGAAAAAACGAAACGCTGCGGGTAAATCGCCGAAAGTGAAAAAGAAGCGCGGATTCTTTTTCCGTCGACGTGCTAAATCTGGCAGTACCGCATCGACATACTCACAAGTGGGTTCTAGGTGAAACAGCAGTACATACTACCTGCATACGAAAGGCCTGAAACGTACCGCCAAGAGAAACTACTAAAGGCCTATTCCATATCAAATGATGGGCGTGCAACAAGACAGGAATTTTGATCACAGTGCCTTGCTATTTCGGTGCAAACCTTCACTGTTTTTCATTAGATGGAGGGGCAGACCAATCAGAAAAGCGCAACCAATGACTTTGGCAGCAACCGCCCGCCTTCAGCCATCGCCCCACTACCTTCAATCGATAATCTATCCAAAAGCAGGTCTTGATGGTACGAGTCAGCGGATTGCAATTTCTCCAAGGCATAAGGCACGACAATTTGTTTGCCACTTCAAAGCGGTAGTGGAGAAGTAGGATATTCGATAAGTAAAGAAGGAAAGCGAAACAAAATGGCCAAAGTCAGCGGCCTTTCGGTTATCGCGAAACTCCTTTAGACGATCTCACGGTTGGCATCATGCCAAAACCGCTCTAGAAGGAATACTTGCTGCATGAACGAGTACAGTCCTCATCATTGCGGACCGGTGGGGCGTGTCAGCCAGTATGAGTGTGCACACTGTTGAAGCCGTTCTCAGCCTTTTTGTTGAAACGCGTATGCGACAAAAAGTGGTAGAAAACGAGTAATACGAAGGATATAATACAGTAATGTCACTTGCCCGCTTCAACAACTGGTGCAGAACGACTTTGGCCCGCGCCAAACGCAGCCGCACTGAACCGCCCCGACAGTAATGATCAGGGCTGTACACGGGAAAGACAACTTGTCGCGTTGTCGCGCGCGGCGCATCATGCGGCGATGTGCGGCAAGGTCTGTATGTGCTTGCCGATTCAGGAAGCGAAACGTATGTGAATTCTCGCAGAGATAAGATTTCATGACGGGCAACGCCGAATTTTTTCATTCCTTTAAAACTCGAGTTCGAATGGCTGGGCAAGACAACTCGTCCGTCTGGCGCGCCACACCCACGAACGCGGCATATTACGTTTGCCTTCACACCATAGAATGGCCGCACCTGAATTACAGTTTACAAATGAAGCGATATGGCTGCCAGTACCGATGTGAGTGATACTGAAAGCTTTGGAAGCTTTAGTCGGACTATCGTTTAACAATTGGCTCCTCTACATCTTGCTCGAGAGCGCCCTCCTCGCTGAAAGGCTACACACCCCCATCTCAGGCAGATGGCTCTCATTTCTGCCGGCGTTTCAACTCCATAAACACTGTCAACTGGTTGGTCTCAGAAGGTTTAAATGGGAGGGGAGCTCCAGGGTGGAATTACTACCCCTCATGGTTAGTGTCACAAGGATTATTGCATTTCATGAACATCGCTACACGGTGAATCCCTTAGTCTCCCCCTCCTACTTCTCCATACTCTTCACTACTACACGCTGTGGACGCTGGTGGGCGCTACTGGACGCCGGCGTTCGCTAGGTTGATATCTATACCTTCCTAGTGGCGGCGGACGCTCGAAACGCTGGTGTTAGCTGGTGAACGCTGCCGCAATTTATGAACGCTCAGGGGATTGCACTTCTCAAAATGTGAAGTATTGGACTGCGGACCTATTCCAGGCTAGCTCATGTACAAGCCTCACCCTAGTAGGACAAGTGGGAAAGAATATACAGCTTGAGAAAACGTTGATAAGCAGCACAACCGAGCTCAGCTATTTCAGACTCAACCATCTGAACTACAGGCAAAAAGCACCCTGTGTGATACAACTCTCAAGACTGCTACACCACTGCCGCCCACTCCAACTTCTAAAGAAACCGAATCAAAGCAGCCTTCAAAGAGCGTAAGCGGATGGTTCATTTCAAATTACCTACACCTTCTCAATATTGAGAGTGTAAGTCGGGTTATAATTTGAATCTCTTGGATTCCAGAAAGAGACGCTGGAAGTTAAACCGAAAATACAGGAGCAGGAGTTCTTGCCGTATCCTTCGGTGAGATCGCCTACAAAGACTGCCAAAAGGCGTCGAGAAGAAGAGCTACAGGAGGATAAAAAACGGAAGATTGCTGAAGGCTTCTATCAGGTCGGTGGTAGAGCAATCGTAGATGGGTTGTGATGGGCATATGGCAACGGCTATGTTGACAGACCTCATTTTAGCCACGCTCGGATGAGGATGACACCTTGGAGAAGGTTACAAGCCTCAAGATAGAACCCTCGGAGAAGACAAAGAGCGTAGTGAGCGGCAAATTCTCGAGACAGCTTTCATCAAGAAAAAGAGTTAAATCTCCAAAGGGATCATCAACTAAGCTGCCTCCCACCCAACAAGAATGAGCCTGAATAAGTTATTGTTACGAAAGGGAATGAGTTTCATTTTGAAAATAAAGTATGACCAAAGGACTAAGGCAGTCTTGTAAACAATCATATTAGGTCGAACGAAAACTCGTGCGACACTTCGAATGAACCGCTTTCTCAACGCCTTGGAAGCGCAAGCGACCGCAATCACACGTGAGTTGGCAACAACTCCATGCTACACTCACTTGACAGCTACCTGAGCATTTCCGCGATCTCGGTTATCAGGAAGCAGGCGCTGTATGCCTCGGGAGGGGCCACTCGCCAGTGAGGCTCAGTCACTCGTGTTGAGACAAAGCTGCGTCATGCTGATGGTGAGTATGAAAAAGGTCCAGCAAGAGCGTGACACGTTCCGACGTTGACTGAGCCATCTTCGAACGTTTCCCGGTGTTGGTGAGAGTACAGACGAGCAGCTTTGACGTGGCTCAGCTCCGCTGAAGAACTGCCCCTCCCGAGGCACATAACATTTCCGGAAGCAGTTCGGTTACGTGGGAGGGGCACTTTAGATCGCCGAGACCTGCAAGCTCCGTTAGAGTGCCGAAATGCCATGAACATCCACACTATTTCTTCTTGGTTTTTCTTCAGTGTTGGGGCACTTAAAGGCAGTTGGCACGATAAATCGTTGTACAGGTGTAGGATTTGTACAACTGGCTTAACAGAATTCCGTGACCTCGGACAGGCGCTGCGTGGAGAGGGTACCTCTATAACGCCCTATTGAGCAACAACTTTACGTCCCAAACGCCTTCCTTGCCCGCCCGCCCACAAATGGACGACCGTTCCTGACGCTCTAATCGATTCATTTGCTAAGCAAATTATGAAGCGAAGGGATTGGTATGAAGCGGCCGTGATGCTGCATGCATACATGGGTACACATATGCAGCCGTATCTTCGGTAGCGGTGATTGGCAAGATGCGTACGGGAAACTCGTCCGAAATCGATTTACAAGTCACTGAGAACGGAGGCTTTTTCTTCGCCGGATTTTGACCGTTTCACTCCGTTCTTTCGCCATTTCCCCACTATACAGCGCCCTACTAGCATTTGCCAACTGCCTTTAATGCAGGAAGGTGCGGTCCATGTCTAAGGACAGCAAGAGCCCGGTGCCGACAGCAGCAAAGTTTCAGACGAAAAAATAAACGCCAATGTGGTAGTTGCCACGGGAATATTCACCACGTACTTCTGTGCCGGATCTCTTCTATTGTACCATCTCGTACGCTGAACTGGGGATTATCAGGGGGTTCGGTTAGGCGCAAAGTCAGCTCGTTTTCCGCCAAATGTCATAGCTTGCTCCGTTTTGACGCGTTAACTCGCCAGGTGATGTGGATTGTTTCCTAAGGCGGACCATGAAAAGGAGCTCCTGGATAGGTGCGCACCATCAATGCGTAAGGAATCCAACAGCGATCTGGAAAATTAAACTACTGTGACATTTTGTAGTCTTACCGAAGCGCAGAATTTTACAAAATGCTCCCATAGCCAAGGTGCCTCTCTGCAAAGCCACTGAAGTTGCGTCACTCTCCGAATAACTGTGCTTGAGTTTCTTTCCTCTTCTTAAACCAGTCCAACGGGGGTTCTCCTAACACAGATAAAAACGTCGCAGTGCTTAGAAGCTGATGTTAATAGCCACTGTTGTACTAAGCGTACACGCACTGGCCAAACAAATGCTGCTATAGATATAAATAATTACTGTCAGTAAAAAGCAGTGGACTTGGGTGGTACGAACCTGCGAGCACTGCCCGTAAAGTTATGGATCCTGCAATTCAAAAGGCGTGAATTCGAGCGCAGCCAGGACAGCCTTCCCACCAAATATTTCGGAATTTCGCACTCAGGATGGCGTCATTGCTGAAAAAACAACCACCGTAGTTGCGATCCAATCCTCGCTGCAGGGAACTGTGCTGTCGACAACCAATCGTTTGAAGGCTTAACATGAAACAGTCAATTTTTTCCTATCCACCTATACATTACATTAACACAATTGTGTCATAAATGAAGGACATTAGGACATAAGGTACTATATGGGAACAAATATAGGCTGCTTCCAGGACAGGGCCAAATAAAATCAACCCTCTTAATTTAACAGCAATCCCTTTTTTTTCAACTGTTTAAGACGTAGCTATCAAAGAGCTACGTCGAAAAGTTGGACTAACCAGCGCCAGGCTTCTAACATGCCATTAGCTGGTGCATATCAACGGTGAGAGAAGTAACGGTAGAAAGGAATAGAAGTAGAGTGGTAATCTTCTCGTCTATTGATTATCTCGCTCGGTAATATAATAAGTAAAAATGTGCAACTAAAAATAATAACTGCAAACAGTCCTAAGCCCCACCAAAATGTGTCGCACGACTTTTCGTTCAACCTGGCACCGCGGGAAACGGGAATTCACTACATGAACGACAAAATCAGCGAATCTTAAGTTAGCGGTTCATCGACAGAAGTTGGAGTACGATAAGGCAGCGTTCAGACTTCGCGACGGCAGCGCTTTGGATCGCGCGTTCGACGCGATCGATGCAGTAGAAAGCATGCGCATCGATCGCGCCGAACGCGCGACCGAAGCGCTGCCGTCGCGAAGTCTGAACGCTGCCTAAGACTCGGTAACAAGGCATAGGGGACGGCTAGATAACCAAAAGGCGAAGCGCCCATATAGCCTCGTTCATTGCGGATGCTGGTCGTGTCAGGGAATTGGGTTTGGCGCGACCCCAGACTGTTCTCATAATCTGTTGAGGGGACAAACGAAGAGAACTGCTGGTAACGCACCCCCCCCCCTGTGACGGGCTCGAGCATTCCGCAGAGAGCAAGACTCTACGCATATTGAATTGGCGGACAACATTTATGCTTCGCTAAATCCTGAGGTATCAAGCTGGCCCGCTAGTCGCCTTACAACATCATAACAACCGTAGTATGTCTAAATTAATCTTATTTTGAGACGAGAACTTGATTTATCTTTGTCAATTCCAGCATGCGA